CCATTCACTTTGGCCAACTAAATAGTCCTCATAATTGATAATGTACTTAAAATCTAGCTAAATTGAACTAACACGCTAAGACAAAGGATGTGACTCAGTATAAATGTTAATAGAACAATATTTACGGTCTAACTTAAGTATCCTTAGAAATTGTTAGATGACTTTGAAAAACACGATTTTCATTAAAAAATTATAGCTGGTTTTGTAGTTTTTTTTCTTGTAATATATTACCATTATTATAAAAATAAATAAGAACACAGGAAGACGCACCTATTATACCAAAAACAAAGAAAAAATTAACAATATTAAACTACTGAAAATTATAGAAGATAAGAAGCATTAGAAATAAACAAAAAAAAATGTTCCACTTAACTTTGGTCGAGAGCCCATGGCGCAACTGTTTTAAAACTACGGTTTGAAACCGATTGCACTCACAACTATTTTGTTAGCGTCGTTAGCTTAAAATCACTGGGATTGACTCAGGATGCGATCCGCATGAAACTAGTTTCCCTCTAGTTTCCAATTGATATTTTAACACAGTTGTATCGTGGGCGGTCGATCTTAGTATTCTAGAAATGAAATTTAGCACCATTAAGTATGTCTTAACTGTCGTTGCAGATGTAGTCTTCGTTCAAATTATCTCAGATATTAAATATCTCATTAGCCAAAAGTTTAACTCTTTAAACTATGCTGTTTAACTCATAATGGTGGCCTTTTAATCTCCCAATTATTAATTCTTGAATTTCCAAATAAATTATTCTTCTTCTTCTTCTAGGACATGCTCCTGTTTACTCTAGCGTCCCAGCTCTCGTAATGCTGATGTCCAGTTATTATACCATCTCTTAAGAGGTCTTTTTGTTATAAAATGTGTTTATTAATCTTTAGTTTATATCCGAAATTAACACGTTAGACTTGGTGCTCTTATATTGAATCTGCAAAGAAACCATTGTGATAAGACCAGTTGAATACTAAGTCAAGATCTTGTTGAAGAATTTTAGATATTATTGGAATTTGCATATAATTGGTCATCATCAGCGTAAATAAAAACCTTACTGGATAAAATGAGCGAACGATCACACAAAAGAGTAGTGTTTCAAGTTTCAAATACTGATTGTTCCTTTTAGGACTCTACTCTACTTAGAATATGATAACTAGAAACGAATTAATCGACAGTAGTAAATCGATGTAAAAAAATGTCTACTTTGTAACGCTATTTGTGATGCATAAGAGGTGAGACAGGGCTCCACGAATCAGAAATCCAACTCCAGGACATTGACGATGAAATAAAGAAAGATAACATCCCAACAGAGGTAGAAGCCATCCAAGCCATACAGAAATTGAAAGAAAACAAAGCTCCTGGGGCAGATGGCATTTCTTCAGAACTTTTAAAGCATGGCAAAAAAAACCTGGCATACTGTATATGTAGACTGGTAGAACTAACCTGGAAGAAAATAAAGTTGCCAGAATACTGGAATGTAGGTATAATTGTACCTATCCACAAAAAAGGAGATCAAATAATATGTGACAACTACAGAGAAATATAACAAATTCTTGGGGAGGCTAGGACCCACACAGTGTTGTAAAGCCAAAATGATGATGATGATAGTTACGAAATATTACTTAGAAATGAAATTGTACCTACACTGATAAACTTGTTTGAGGCCAATTTTAATCAGATATGGGCAAGATGGAGCTCTAGCTCATTTTGGGGTAAATTCTCGGGGTTATTTAGAAGAGATATTTCCAGGACGATGGATCGGTAGACGAGGTAGAGTTTAATGGTCTCCACGTTCACCTAATTTCAATCCTAAAGATTATTTTTATTGGAGATACTTGAAAAATTCAGTTTTCAAACCTAAACCAGCAAGTCTTGCAGAACTAAGGCAGCAAAAAATCGATGAATCTCGAATAAATTCTAGACAATCATGGAAAAATGTGGTAGACGCAGTCTACCATTGATTAGGGTATTGTCATCTCACAAATGAAGCACATTTTGAACACTTGATAAAGTAACCATTGTGTTAAAAAATGTTGTAATCTATCAACTGTTACGTTTTAATTTTAGTTATTATTGGAATTTGCTTAAAATTTGTCATCATCAGCGTAAATAAAACCTTACTGGATAAAATGAGCGAACGATCACACAAAAGAGTAGTGTTTCAAGTTTCAAACACTGATTGTTCCTTTTAGGACTCTACTCTACTTAGAATATGATAACTAGAAACGAATTAATCGACAGTAGTAAATCGATGTAAAAAACGTCTAGTTCGTAACGCTATTTGTGACGCATAAGAGGTAAGACAGGGCTCCACGAATCAGAAATCCAACTCCAGGACATTGACGATGAAATAAAGAAAGATAACATCCCAACAGGGGTAGAAGCCATCCAAGCCATACAGAAATTGAAAGAAAACAAAGCTCCTGGGGCAGATGGCATTTCTTCAGAACTTTTAAAGCATGGCAAAAAAACCTGGCATACTGTATATGTAGACTGGTAGAACTAATCTGAAAGCAAATAAAGTTGCCAGAAGACTGGAATGTAGGTATAATTGTACCTATCCACAAAAAAGGAGATCAAATAATATGTGACAACTACAGAGAAATAACTCTCCTAAACGTAACATACAAAATATTGGCATATATTCTTTACGACCTACTATCGGATATTGTGAAGACATAATAGGTAAATATCAGTATAGGTTTCGTAAATAAAGATTAACCACCGATCAAACATTCCTTCTAAGGCAAGCTCTGGAAAAAACATATCAGTATGGCATTGATACTCATCAGCTATTTTTTTATTTTAGATGTGCCTACGATAGTGTTAAAAAAAAAACGCACTATACAAAGCCATCATAGAATTCAGCATACCAGTACACTTAGTAAAATTGCTAAAAGCGACCCTCTCAAGAGTCGAGTGTAAAGTTAGAACGGAGTTTCCAGAACGTTCCAGTCTCAGATAGAACTTAGACAAGAAGATAGCCTATCATGCCTTCTATTCAATATTGCACTAGAGAAAGCGATAAGAGAATCTGGAACAACAACCAGAGGAACTATTATTAATAGCAGCGGACAATTACTAGCGTAAGCCGATGACATCGACATTGTTGTAAGGAGAAAGGCAGACGTGGTCGAATCATTCAAGGCACTTGAAGCAGCAACAAAAAGAGGTTAACACTAGTAAGACAAACTATATGAAAGTATCAAATTATATACAAGCAGCACAACCCAAAGATCTAACAATCGGAACATATACTTTCGAAGGAGTTAGAGAGTTTATATACCTAGGCTTACAAATTAATCAGAATAATGCAGTAAGTGCAGAAATTAACAGACGAATATATCCGGTAAATGGAGCCTATTATAGATTAAAAAAATGTTTAACAAGCCTAGTTACAAAATGAACGAAACTAGTGATATACAAAACTCTTATCAAGCCCATACTCACCTACCCGTTGGAAACATGGAGGATGATAAAGAGCGATGAGGAACGGTTAAGATGCTTGTAAAATCCTCTGGCATATCTATGGAGGAGTACAGGAGGGCTGATTATGGTGTAGAGGCTATAATTTCGAACTTTACCGTCTGTATGACAAACCTGATATTATTAGGTCCATCAAAATAAACCGGCTGCGGTGGTTAGATCACATAGACAGAATAAATGAGATAAAGCCGCCAAAATATATTTATAACCAAAGAATAGATGGAGTGGGAAGGAGAGGCAGACTCAGAGCATGATTTAAGGATCAGGTGAAGGAAGGCTTGAGAATATTGGGAGTACGAAACCTGAAGCCAAGGCGAAGAATAGGAGACAATAAAGACTTATTCTTGAGCATTCCAAGACCCACCATGGGTTTTGGAGCCAATGATGATGATGATTTGTGATGCATTCTCGTGAAGCTTGTTCTGTAACTCTCACATTTTGCTGTAGAGAAAAAAGTAATACAATGCCAGTATAGGAGCTTCGCTATAAAAAATAAAAAGTATTCTGATCTTGATATGATAACTTAACTCATCTCTTGATTCATACAAGTAGATTTAAAACAGCACATGGATTTTGCCATTCGCCATTCCTTAAACAGTTATATGTTTCTTATAGTTTATGGCATGGCTGTATCTTGACTAAGGTTTGATGGTCCGAAAGGAATGTTATGACATGTCAATGTATATCTTAAGGCTTGATGGTCCGAAATCAATTGGCATGACTCTTCAAGATATATTTTGGAGTACATCCAAAGTATGATTAAAGGTATACCCGAGGAAGCTTTAATATATTTCATGACCGAATATAATAAAGATAGATAGAAAAATAATTTTCCGAATTGATAGCGCTTTTAAAGAGAGGAAATGGCCAAAAGTTCTGAGAGGATCACCTTCTAAACGTGCCTATATTATAGAGATGTCGGCGACCACATGGACCCATCTTATTCTATTCTCAGCAGCTCGAAATAGATCAGTTGACGTTAGACCAGTCCATTTTCTAAGATTGGCCAGCCAGGATATACGTCTACGTCTAAGGCCTCTCTTACCCTTAATCTTGCCCTGGTCGGTATTTATCGTTACGCATGATGCGGCCGAAGTAAGCCCATTTTGTTTTTATGGCGTTAATGTTACTTGTATGGTGTATATATGAGACCCTCAAGGTACGTCGGTAGCACCACATTTTAAATGCCTCCAATCATTCTATTGCATCCTTTGTAAGGCTCCAGCTTTCTACTCCATAGAGGAGGACACTAAAGACGTAACATCTAAGAATTCTTATGTGTATATTGATACTTAAAGATAAGTTGCACAGAATCTTCCTAAGGCTATTAAAAGAGCTTCTGGCTTTTTCAATACGAGTTTTATTTCGTAGCTGTGATCCCAAGTATCCTTAATAGTGCAGCCCAAATAGCATATTTTTTCCACCTTTATTAACTGTTTATCGTTAATTGTAATTTGGGAGTTTATGCCGGTGTTCTTACTAATGATCATTATTTTTGTCTTCTTGTAATCAAGTTTTAGGCCGTATTTGTTACATGCTTCTACAACGTTATCCATTATCCTTTGGAGCCCATGTGCACTATCTTCCAGTAACACTGTATCGTCTGCATATCTAATGTTGATTATAAGTTGACCATTCACAACAATCTCATCTTCTGATTCATCCAAGGCCTCTCTAAAGATATTTTTAGAGTATATGTTAAATAATGCCGGTGACAATATGCAACCCTGTATAACTCCTTTTTCGACTGTGAAGATCTCGGACAGTTCATTTTATAATCGTACTGTTGCTTTTTGTTGGAGATATAAGTTTGAGATGTTATATCCTTACCATCGAGTCCTGAGGTTTTTAGGATATCGATTAGTTTTCCATGTAGAATTTTATCAAATGTCTTCTCGAAATCAATTAAACATGCATACACATCACAGTTGACATCCCCGACTGTCTGTATTAGAACTTTGCAAACTAAAAAAATCTTCCCTCATTACGAGTCCTGCTATGAATCCAAATTGAACTTCACTCATGTGTTCTTCTAATTTGGTGTATATGCGCGAGTGAATGATAGTAAGGAGTATTTTAAGTACATGGCTCATCAAATTAATTAAACTATGTTCTTCACATTTTCTGGCGTTGGCTTTTTTAGGAAGTGGAATGAATATTGATAGTAGCCAGTCTTTTGGTAAGTAACAAGTCTCGTAGTAGATGTTGTTGAATAGCTTCGTAAGAGCTGTGATTTCGTGTGACTCTAATAGATTTAAGATTTCACCATGCACCTCATCAGGTCCTGGTAATTTCCCATCTTTAATCCGCTTAATGGCCATAGTTACTTCTTCGTTTGTTATTTCTGGGCCATAGGGATTGTTTATTTTAGTCGGACTTTGTGCTGTATCTTCGAATAATTCTTGCATATATTCTTCAGAGAATCATCTAAAATTTCGACTTATTGACTACTAGCTGACCCGCAGACCTTTGTATTGCCATAAAATTAAATAATTTATCAAAGTTCAAGAAGCTCCTCTTTCGAGTCTGTTAAGAACCAGAAATCTCTGGGTAATGAAATGAATCAGGTCGAGGTGTCAATGACGACTTTACCTTTCCAGTATCTAGAAACTGCTTTGAAAATTTTAATTGCACTTTGATCTTGTTGCAAAAAACACTCGTATGTTATTAATTTGTCAATTGGAGCGTCTTTACATGCTGCCACAAACTAGATGATGTTAGGCATGCGTTTAGTTCGTTTTTATCAGTTAATTGGTGAATACTTATTAAATAACGAATAATCTGAAAATAGAACATGGCTCCACCAAAATTGTCACGAATATTTTTTAAAGTTCTGTCCAGTCAGTGTAATGATCTGTTGTGGGCCAATGTTCATTCATCCCAAACTATAAAATCCCTATAAAAGCGAACGACTCAATTTTTATTTTAAAAAATTTGTATAAAATAAAATAAATTATATAAAACTAAATAATATTCATTGAAATTACATACAATAAAATTATTAAAAGTATAAAAGATTATAAAAAATTTAATAAAATGGAATAAAATTAAATATAATTAAATAAAATTAAATTAAATAAACGAAAGTTTATTTTTTGAAATTATAAAAATTTATAGTCGGTAATAGATAAGAATTTACAAATGGAAAGTTTTTAATAAAAATTAATTAATATACCCTGCCATTGTTTACGATTCTTTTTAGAATAGAATGATAATCAACATGAAATAATTAAGCGTAAATACAAGATAATAATGAAAATATATACATATATATATATATATATATATATATATATATATATATATATATATATATGATGAATAAATTCTATATGTATTATATTTAAAATGACTTTTGAAAATTACTAAAATTATTAAACAAATTTTTTAAAGAAAAATATTAAGAGTTTATTTAAAGAACTTCCTAAATGTGTAGTGTTATTATAAAAATTTATACCAATTCAGTAATAAACAGACATAAACTTTAATTTTTAATCTACATATAGTAATATTGACACGCTATAAGAAGTATTCACTTCTATCGGCACTTCCCAAGTACCATGCCCTTTTTTTCTGTCCATCGCCAGCACCAAGGAAGTATAATTCACCATATCCAATATTTACAACTTCAAAACGTATCATACGATATCGTTATTTGTTGACTATTTCGACAAATGCGTTGCGATAACGTTGAATTTAATTAAATTGTTATTTAAAGAATACTATAATCCCTAATACTCATCTTACAGTATGGAAAAAGCATTAGATATAGCAAGTTTATCTGGCGCAAATAATGAAGAAATAGAGTTGTTAGAAATACTTATGAATATTATCGGTATAACGTAAAACAATATTTATAAAGATTTACTTATGAGAAATGCCAGCGTCGAACCACCCGAAGTGTTCCCCCTACATGCAGAACGACCTAATGGAATGAACCTGGACTGGAGAACCTGGCGGACACTCAACCGCATGCGCACAGGTGTTGTCCCTGTAAAACAGAACCTAATTAAATGGGGCATCAAGACAGATAGCGAGGCACTCTGTGAATGTGGGAAAATACAGAACGTGGAGCACCTGAGAGTATGCAGACTTTGCTAATCACAGTGCACCCTCGATGATTTATGGCTCGCAAATACAAAGGCTGTAGACGTAGCCCGATATTGGGCAGAAAAACTGTAGTCGGATCCAGACTCGAAAAAGTAAGTAACTAATTGAGAATAATTATGTAATACTTAAATCAACATTCACTAAATAAAACAAATAATTTGATCAAATATCTATATAACTATAAATAAAGTTGGATGTCTTTTTTCTTTTTACAAGTAATTTTACAGTTAACGTCAAAATAAGGGATCTTTAAATAAAAGGCGTGAAAGGGTTATTGATTTCGTAGATGCGGAACCTTTCACTGAGTTGGAACTCGGAAAGGCTGTTGTATGGATGAAGATCCTTAAAGCACCTGGAATAGATGGAGTCATGCCGGAGTCAGTAAGACTCGCCGCACTAAAATACCCGCAGGTTTTTCTGCGATTGCTAAACAAACTGCTTGAACAACAGCTGTTTCCATCAATGTTAAAAGAAGCTAAGGTTCTCCTTATACCGAAAGGTAGAAGTGAAGAGGAAGAGGTACAATTTCGGCCAATTTGCCTTCTAAGTTCGATAGCTAAATTGTACGAACAGCATATAAAAGGCCGCCTTGAGCGAGAACAAGAAGTGAAGCATGCGCTGAGCGACCGCCAATATGGTTTTAGGGCCAAAAGGTCCACCATAGATGCGGTCACAGAAGTAACCTCTTTGGTCACAAATGATACAAAGAGATGGGTGGCTCTCATTCTGCTCGACGTCAATAATGGCTTTAATACGGTATCATGGGAAAAATTTATGTCCAGGCTGAGAAAATTGGGTTAGTGAGTACCTGGTCAACGTAATTGACAGATACTTTACTGACAGGTCCATAAGAGAAAAAGATATCAGCATCAGTGTGTCGCAAGGTGTTCCACAGGGTTCAGTACTAGGTCCCATCCTGTGGAATATCCTGTACGACATGGTGTTGAAGCTACAGATGCCAAGGGGATGCATTCTTGTAGCTTAGCAGAGAGAACGATCTACAGCTAGCGCCTCAGAAAACTGACGTGTTAGTTCTCAAAGAGACCCGGGAAAAATCCTCTCTTCGCTTTATAGTGGAAAGTGTGAAGGTTGCACCGGTTAAAGCAATTAAGTATCTGAGAGTCTGGTTGTCAAAAGGTCTAAGGTTTGGAGAACACATCCAAAAGACAGTAGAGAAGGCGAACCGAAATCTGGAGGCATTGATACGGTTGATGCCAAACCTTGGAGGCCCAGGAAGCACTAAAAGAAAGGTGCTAAATGGAGTTTTTCAGTCGGTGGTAACCTACGCTGCCCCTGTGTGGTGTAGTGTACTAAACACTGCGAAATACGCTAAGCTGATGGAGACTTCGCAAAGGCGAATGCTCCTCAGGGTATCTAGCGCATATAGGACAGTTTCGAATGAGGCTCTATATGTCATTGGAGCAGTAATACCTATTGTTTTGTTGTGTAAAGAGCGAGCGAGGATATATGCGAGGAGGATGGATGTAAATATAGATGAGAATAAGAGAAAAAGGACGATAGTAGAGTGGCAGAGAGAATGGGAGAATGGTAGTGGAATGGCAAGGTGGACGAAGGAGCTTATTCTCGATCTGGGACCGTGGTGGGAATATAAGTTCAGGAAACTAGACTACTTCCTGACGCAGTTTCTGACGGGACATGGTAGTTTTGATACCTTCATAAATAGAATAGTAAAATCTGCCTCGGTATACTGTACTGTTTGTGGGGTACCGGACGCTCCCGCCCACATTTTCAACTGTCAGAGATGGGCAAATGAGATGGGAGATTTCGAGAGGCAAATGGGTTTTGGGCTAGATCAAAGAAACATTGTAAATATAATGTTGAAAGGAGAGAAGAATGGGGAGAAGTACACTGTCTGATTTCTGGTGTGATCAAGAAAAAGAAGCAGGAGGACAGAGGAAGAAATTGAGCCAGAGATCTGAAATTTATAGTTAATATTATTTATTAGTTTATGGCCTAACATCTAAACATTTTCTAATTTACAGGAATAGGTATGGTTATTTATAAATTTATAGTTTTTTATTTTAGTCGTTTATTGAGTGGCAAGACCACCTCTATGAAACGGTGGTTAAGGTTTTAGCCGGAGCACGGAGCACTACCCTGGGGTCTTCTGGCCTAGTATCTTACTCGGGCGAAAGATGCCAGGTTGTCTTCATCTCCAGGTTCCGTGACGTAGATGTCCAAAAAAGATTACCGTTCGACTCCTCCACCAGAAGCAGTCGGCCTCTGCTTCTTCTTCCTATAGGTGTTCCTGTCGTTAGCTTTTTAGCAATCATGTTGGCATTCGTATTATGTGCCCGGCAAATCTAAGTCGCTATGTTTTAATGAACTTTATGGCATCTGGTTCACTAAAGAGTTGGTATAATTCAAAATCAAATCTTTTTCTCCACTGCCCTTGGTCGTTTATAGCTCCAAATATTTTGCGGAGTATCTTACGCTCGAATATTCCCAGAAGTTTTTCATCCTCCTGCGTTAGAGTCCATATTTCCTCACCGAATGTGAGAACCGGCCTCAGTAGTATTTTGTACATAATAATTTTAATTTTGCTTTGGATATTTCTTGAGTGGAATTGTTTTTGGAGTCCATAGTACGTCCTATTTGTAAGGTGTATTTGTCTTTACATTTCTTTGCTTCTTTTATTGGTAGTAGTCACTAGCGAGCCAAAGTATGTAAAACTGTCAACACGTTCAAAGATATGACTTCCACGTCTTTCATGAATATATCTGCTAATATTGTTCCAGACTTTCAACAATTAATCAGTAGTTATGGAGTTACTTTGGCTAACATTTTTTTTATTTGCTTATTTATTACCGAAATCTAACAGTATAATCTTAGTCATTATCAAAACTTACGAGCAGTTACCAAAATTGATACGAGATAAGAAACAAATTATTTATTGATGTTTGTCAAATAGACACAATAACAATGAAAGTCTAACATACTATAGCATACTATCTATTATAAGACAAAATAATTTATGTTTAAATACTTTATCCTGTTCTATTTTTAATCATTTATTGAGAAACTACCAAATACAAAAATATGAGTTCATTACCATATTAAAAATAGGTTCAAGGCAATTAGTAATATTATTATTATTATTATTGAGTTAATGCATCGACAACTAAGACCTTTGGCATGGTACAGTCAGGTACCTAGTGTAGTAATTGTCTTGATACTTAGCAAAGTCGAAAGAGACGCTAATTGTATCCGAACGTCTGCGGTCCCTCCGGTGAGTACCGATCGCACAAGGATAGAAATTATTTTTATTTATTAATTTTTACAGAGAATGCAGAGAATACAAGACAC